ATAAAGGCATGAAATGGCTGGCTTACAAGTTTTCTCTGGCTCTTCCTCTCCCTCCCCTTCAGGTGTCTATTTTACAATAGTAGGCAAAGGAAACCAAGATTCAAAAGATAGCCAAGCATCTTAACATCATTTCCCCACTTTCACCCATACACACCATGCCTCAGTCTTTGTATCCATGAGCCTTGTTGTTCCACGAGTCTGCTTACATCGTTATTTACCTCTGTCCTATTTAGCCCATGTAAACCTGCCTAGCTATTCTTCCATCCACCCTTGTTTTTCCTTTCCCCTTCGCCTTCTAGTGTGTGCTTCCAAGACTGAAACTCAATTGGAATATACTAGCAAGCATGTGGTCCTACTGCTGACCATGTTGGCCACCAATAAGGGGAAGTGGGGGAGAAACAGCAATGAAGTTGTTAACTAAGTCCGACCACATTCAATAGACTCCTGTTAACCTGGATTGAGACCTAGTTAACCAGCAGTATGACGAGACCTGGGGACTCCTGGGCTCAGGTTCAGGGATATGGCCCCAGAGGACTAGAATGGAGTGTGAAGCATCCAGCTGATATGAAGTGAGGGGAGATGCACAAGAACACCCACACTTGCAGATAGTACCCATTTGACCTGGCATCATCAATGGCTGAATGATCAGAACATGACTAGAGGAAGAAAGAAGAGGTGGGAAAAAAAAAACGAGTAACCTACAACAAGTGAATGAACGTAACTTTACCTATGCTTGTGGATGCAGTATGACAAAGAAGCGGACAAATCTCTACAGTGAGGATCATTTCCATACCCTTGGTACTCACAGTCGACAGGGATGGGTAACTTAGACATTGGCAACCTAAAATGGGGGGACTCCAAAGGCTCTGGTAACGTAGTGGTTACAAATCAGGCTGCAAACTGCAAAGTTAGCAGTTTGAAACTACCAGCTGGTCCACGGGACAAAGATGAGGCTTTCTGCTCCAGTAAAGATTTACAGCCTTGGAAACCCTGTGCAGGGTCACTATGAGTCAGAACTGACTCCACAGCGCATAACCACCACCACCGGCACAAAGGCAAGAAGTGACTGACTTGCAAACTTTGAATAGAAAACCTAGCTCAAGAGAATACAGGGAAAGGTAGAGTATCCACTGAATTATTTCCAACCTGTCTGGATGGGGTTGATAAAAGGTGGGGGGGGTGGGGGGAAGGACTCCTGTGGTTCAATAGGGAATGATTGCTATCAGGTCTGAGAGTGAGTGTCGGAAAGGTAAATGTAAATGTTTGGCAACAAAAGGAGGGGAGCAGCTGATTTTGCAGTCCAGGAGTGGAGATCTCTGGAATTATCAAGGGAGAAAAGCTAAGTGCGAGACCTTGTCCGGGGAGGCAGTGACACTAGGGATGGAGGCAGAGATGATGATGTGGACACATGGAATGGCTGGGGACTCTGGATTCAGGGAGGGAAAGGGGCTATGGGCTGGCAGCCAGGGGGCAGGCATGCAGTGTGTACCCTTTGGTTGTTTGATGATGAATGCAAGGGATTGTGACCATTGTAATGAAACAAAAATAAATAGTTGTGTGGTGACATGATAAACTAATGAGTTTATCAAAATAGTTGAAATGAAATCTAAATCCTAAGTGAAAAAAGAAGAAAGCAAAATATTTGTAAACTATGATTCTAATATAAATAGTAAAAGCAACTTATGAAAATAATAACAGGTTGCAAACTAAGGAAGACATAATTGTTTCCTAAGTTTCTTTACTGCTAATGTTTTTCAGTTCTGAAGTGGTGATGATGGATGATGGGGTGCCATTGAATCGGTTCTGTCTCATAGCGACCCTGTTCAGGGTTTTTGAGACTCTGAATCTTTTCAGAAACAGAAAGCCTCATCTTTCTTTCGAGGAGTAGGTGGTAGATTTGAAATGCTGACATGTGGTTAGCAGCCCAACTCATGACCACTACACCACCAGGACTCCTTAGCTCTAAAATGTTGTTGTTGGTTCCAACTGATGGTGACCCTTCACAGGGTTTCTGAGAAGCACCTGGGGAGTTTGAACCACCAACCTTGTGGTTCAAACCAACCTTGCAGTCCGTGCGTTAACCCACAGCACCAGGAGACTAAATCGACATAGTAGTGGTGGTGTTGATTGTGTGCCACAAGGTCAGTTCCAACTCATAGAGAGCCTGTGCATAGGGTTTCCAAGGGTGTAAATCTTTACGGGAGTAGAAAACCTCATCTTTCTCTGGTGGAATGGCTAGTCGTTTCAAGCTGCTAACCTTGAGGTTAGCAACCCGACTCATAACCGCTATACTACCATTGTTGTTAGGTGCCATCAAGTCGGTACCAACTCATTGCGGCCCTATGCACAACAGACCAACTCCTTTAAATCAACGTTTGTTGTTGTTGTTGTGTGCCATCGAGTCGGTTCCGACCCATAGCGACCCTGTACAGGGTTTCCGAGGGTGTAAATCTTTACGGGAGTAGAAAGCCTCATCTTTCTCCCGCGGAGCAGCTGGTAGTTTCGAACCGCTGACCTTAAGGTTCGCAGTCCGATTCGTAACCACTACGCTACCAGAGCTTCTTTTAAATCAACGTAGAGGTGTATAAATTTGAAACCCTTGTCATTAAGGTTGTTAGTATTTTGTGAGGTGAGAGTAGGTGGAAATGAATGGAATGACAACTAACACAATAGACTGGATTAATTATATACACTTCAATTTATTAGAAAATAGTTACTGTTGAAAGAGTAAGTTAAACTACAGACAATATGCTAAAAGCCCATTAAATTAAAATGGAAATTTGATGCAACACCTCCACTTCAAATCCTTCAATGATTCCCATCTCACTCCGAGTACAATGCCAGATTCTTTGTAGCGAGCCATGAGAGCCCTCTTGATTGACAATAACATTCTTGGGCGATGTTCCTACATTAGAAGTCCCTACCTAATGAGCTCTCATTCCTACCCATCCATCTAAGACTTCCAAAATGGAAGTCTTAATACAGCCCACCTTACCACAGTTAGCATATTTTTATAGCTCAAAATGTCATACAAGCCATTGTTGTTGTTGTCAAGTGCCATCAAGTTGGTTCAGACTTAGAGCAACCCTGTATAGGATTTCCAAGGAGAAGCTGGTGGATTTGAACTATTGACCTTGTGCCTAGCATCCAACAGTGTCACACTATGACAATAAAAGTCACTGCTGTTGTTGTTAAATGCTGGCAAGTCAGTTCTGACTCATTGTTGTTGTTATTGTTAAGTGCAATCAAGTCTGTTTGGACTCATATCAACCCTGTATAGGGTTT